GACAGGTGAATGGTTCGCTGATTTAGAGACCGAGAGACCTCAGTGGGAAGAAACAAACACCTCAAAGAGGAAAACATCTGGCCAGTTTATTCTGAATATGCTGTGGCCGCTCAGTGTTTTCCCGTAACAGTTCCTAATTACGGCAAAGCATGCTGGATAAATTCCATACAAATACTACCATGTAAAGAGATATCTAACGGTGCAGAAATTTATTTCCTTTCACGGTTTCATTTCTCGAGATTGTTCTGACGTTCAGTATATGCCATACGATCGCGCAAAGCTTGGGGTAGTTATCAAATGACGGGGCGCTCCACGTCATACTGCGTTTTGAAGCAGCATCGCTCTACAACGAGGAGCAAATCATGATCTCTGCGAGCACCTCTTGAAGCCTATGCAATGCAGACTAACGACTGCGGTTTGTGCGATTGTGATCTGTGCATTATGGGATATTTGACGTAATTCGCCGTTGCCACAAACCACTAACATCGCTTCGCAGAGCTGCTTCACTGCGGACTTTCAATGTGGTCCCGACTGCGGCCGCACCTTCCCAGACATACTGCAGCGTAAAGACCGAAAGGCGGATGAAAGCACGCAAAGCGAGTAAGGGCGCTACAAAGCAGCTTTCTGAGCTGACGCCCCTCCAGGCGCTTTGATCGACCTACCCGCTCCCTTTCCTGTGTCATCTGTCATACGTAGCCGCCACCGTATCATCACAGCGCGCCAAGTATCTCTGCACAGCACGCGCCGGTGTGTGCCCCGTGCTGTGAGCTGTCTGCTGTGTCACCGCGGCAGCTGCTGCAGAAGGCGCGCGCGTGCACGTGACAGCGCGTGTGTGCACGTGATGTATGACTGACCGTCACGCGATGGGCGCATCCGTCATCTCGGCGGTGGGGCCGTGACAGCAGGCGTGGACGGGTGGTTAGCGTGTTTGAATAGTGTGCCAGCTAGCCTTCGGAAATCCAGCCAGTGAACTGGCAAGAACGCTGCTGCCAGTGCATGATATGAGAGTTCTGGGTATGATTATCGCGTCCCTCCCCTTACCTGATATTCAAGAGCCATTTTGACGTAATCATCCTCAGTCGGCATCATCAATAATCAGCAAATGTCATCGACCGTCACCAATCATTATCGACAATCACTAGCACCAATCATCGTTGACAATCACCAGCACCGGTCACCAATAATTGGCAGTCATCGCCAGTCAGTACTGATCATCAATCATCCATGGTCATCAATCAACAATCATCATCCGCATCAATCATCCAGAAATCATCACGTCGCTCCGGTCGACATCTTTCACGCCTGGGGCATTGGCCAGGTCCGTGTGAGCGCAGCGTCAATGTCGACCTTCACCTCACATATGATCATGTGGGCTAACGAGCCCTGTCCAATATATAGTGTTCATGTAGATGCTGTGCATGTACACATGATATATGCATGTGCAGTGGAAAGGGGAGAATGCCTGGGATAGGCTGAAATTTGGTTAACACGAAAAATGGTAAACATGCTTGGTGGGGTTGGAGAAGGGGCCGACGATATCATGAGCCTGCATGCCAACAGCACGCTCCCAAAATCCTTATATGAATTGGACAGCACGAATAACATTCCTTGCTGTAGCTGAGACAGCTTGTCTACCGGTGAGAAATCAAGGATATTTGAAATTGCTGCTCTCGTTGTACGCGGGATTGGTCCATTTTCTCAGATGCTGGGGCGTTCCGGTTCCCACGCCTCCCTCTGACCTCTGAAATTGACCTCCACGCGGCCAGGTCATGACCTGTTTTACTGCCGCTGAGCGTCGTAAAGCTGCCGGAGGCGGTGCCACCATTGAAAACAGACGGCGACGGTCAGAGGCTACTGAAGGAGCCCTGCTCCACACAGGCCTGCTCACCTGACAACACGGTCACCTGACGACACGGGCCACCTGAACGACGAAGATTAAATTGGATGGATGAAATAGCATCCCGTGCTCCAATTTGACAAAATTTGGCGAGAAAAATGGCGAAATATTAAGCTACGCCACCGCTCGTGATGAAAATAAGAGGAAAAACACAATATTCTCTCCAAGAGGTTGATATCAAATTGATTGCCTCTACATCAATCGGTCATTCGTCATGGATTAAATCGTAATCGTTTTTTGTCTGCGTTATCCACGTCCGTATGTTTGGCGGGCACGCAGATGACTATACCGAGAAAAACATTGTCATAAAACCGAGCAGCAAAGCTTACTTGGTTGGCGATTTTGAAGCAACACAAGTGACACATAAAGCTGAATGGATGTACATATATCAATGTAGAGTAGTCTTATCTGCTCAGGACGTATGTAGATCTGTTATAGTATAATGTGCAAGATGTATTTGTATATATATATATATATATATATATATATTTATATATATATATATATATATATATATATATATATCACGAACCTACATTTCCGCAGCCTGCCGTCATACATAAATCATGACACCTGAACGTGTCCTAGAAAGGAAAGCTTGCATGTTCCCCTCGAGCAAAACTGAATTTTTTTGCGCTGCTTAGAAAAGTAATTGGTGACATCAAACTAGCAGCGTAGCAGACTTTTTTTTTGAAAGATATGATCCGCATCCAGCCTGAGATCACCTTAAATGTGTTTCTTCTCGCACCATCAACAGTAAGGCGCCCAGCATCGTAGCCCATGATGAAAAGTACAACACCGGGACTAAAATGTGCCATGACACCATGACAAGCCCCTTCACTGCTCGCCGAGCCGGCACCAAGCACCACCCAGCGTCTAAGCCCGGCCACTTTGGACGAATTAACCAGGCTGGCTAAGAGCCATCGCGTTGCTTCGGCCTACTCGTGACTTGTCCTGGCACGGATGAACGCAGCGCCACTTGAAATGCTGAACGAGAAACCAGAAGTCATTGCTCCATATGCCCACTGACGAAAACAATTGCCGAGTACCGTGGCAAATTATACACGCGGAGGCGAATGCGTCGCAATTTTGACGACAGGTGGCGCACAGATAGCGGGCAAAGACAAATTGCTCAAGACTGTAATTGCATCAGGGCAGAAATTAATCCAATCTCTTTAATTAGTGACGGGCGGGGTGTTCGGATTGTTCAGCACGTGCAGGCGAAAGGTAGTTAATGCGCCGGCAGACGGAAATGACAACTATAATTTTGCACGGTGGATGTTTCGCGTCAGGCCTTTTGAGTCAGCGCTGTAGTTTCGTATTCAGTTTGAGGAGCTCCATACCTACCTTTTCAACTGGCTTGCCCCGTCCCCTCTCAGATTATTTTAGCACACCACATTTCTGCTATGAGTACATGAACGCGCGTGATTGCAGAGAATGACCGTAATGGGGTAGGACGAAATAATTTCCATTTCCTGAAAAACAGTGGATGAAGTCGTAAGTATGTAATTCACCGAAACGCAAAAGCATTCCCACTGATCGCGACCATTAAAACTGCCAAACGACTTTGCAGCCACGTCTGTTCTGAAGACGAGGTACGCGGTGCCGTCACACCCCCGCCACTGCGCGCTTTTTCTGTCCAACTGAAGAAGCTTAAAATAATGCGCATGCCGGTAGGGCTTTCATTACTGTCGTGAGAACAAACACCATGCGAGCCTGCCTGCTCACAACGCGTTGGTCTGATGCTGCTGTCCACAAATGCTCATCATTTCCGCTCAGATTTTTGCTGCAGTATTGAAATGTTGACTGCGAAACTAGACATAATGACCTGCCAACTACATGGACATCTGTTGCATTTAAGTCAATGATATTTTTCTTCATGTCAAATGTTTCCTTTTTGTTCCTAATGAGATGTCAGACGCCTCAGAGAAGCCACGAGCCTGTATGCTTGGCTGCGGAGAGGGCATGCAAAACTCCTTATGCTTCCTCTCTTATTGCAGACCGTCAACAGAAACGTTTTACACAAAATTTAACAGTCATGACTTGCCACTTCCCAGTCGTTGTGATGTGGCCAAAATTTCGCTAAAACACAATGAACCAATTTTTTTGTATGGTTTCACACTACACGTACGTGGCTTTCATTCAGGCTAATTTCACACAAATTAACCTAGTAAGGCTCTCGTCCGATCCCTGATAAGCGAAACGGTTTCCGACGTGTTAACCAATCGGCGCTAGATCACCCTTGTTGTTGTGTGGGTAAGCGGCATGAGAGTTTGCTGAATTCATGAGGCGCATGCATGGCCTACGAACCTGCTTGGAAATACATCTTCCGTGACTTGTCATCATCCTGGAAGCTTGCTGAACTTTTGTACTTTCTTAGCACTTTGCGTTGCGAGAAAAATACCCACGAGGTCAAACTGTGCCGGGTTTATTTACGCCACTTCATTAACGAGCTTTATTAACCGTGTGAAGCAAATAAAACTTTTATAGTTTTATTGCAGCATCTCTTCAGCTGCAGTTTTAGTGCCGTACTAGACATGTTGTAAAACCTCTTCCACACTAAGGTCTTAACGACCTGTTTTACAATGCGTTGGAGACAAATGATCTAACGCATTACTTTTAAATTTATGATATGATGCAAAATTGGCTGCAACATCTTGTGAGTACAGCTAGAAGCCTGCAGTCAATGTCAGAAAAATCATGTTAATCTAGCCCAACAATGAGGTAAGCCCCAAGATGAGAATCCGCAAATGATGGTCAGAATTCCTTTGTCTCAAAAAAGGCTTGTCCTACCCTTAACCGATGACATTGTCTTAAGATGCATCATATATATTACCTTTTAATATTTCTTCACCTGCGATGTGGGCAAAGTATCCGCACGTCCCGTGCATCGCATGTCAAACACTCTTGCCCGGAAAGCCGGTGGAGCTAAAAAGAATGAATGGAAGAGCAATAGCCCGAAAACAAACCTCTGCTATTTCATTTGTGTACATATGCCGACTTAGCTTCCCTTTAGCACATTCACAGCACGTGCTCATTAATATTACCGCAGTTGCCTTTAAAGTGGAGAATCTCGACGCGTTTGGGCTCAATTCGCAAGGTGCCAATAAACTTTTCGTGATTACGCTGTTTCTATCATTAAATCGAGCCTAAGTTATGCGTTCGGACATAAAATGCGTCGCTTGCGTTACATCGCACGCGGAAATGTCATAGGTTTGTCCAAAAAACGCACGCAAACTGCTAAATAATTAGCAGTGATTTGGATGATTCGCACGAGGTCTTGATCATGATTGGTCGTTCACCGCCGACACGCGGAGTTCAGACTGGTTTGCAGGCTGAAAGGTCAGACTTCACCACAGTCTGGCATTGCTCACAGGTAAGTCACACCACAACACCACACCTTGGTCGCCACCCCTGCTCTCACAGTGAGGCCACCATCAGAGTCGTGTTCACATCGCGAAAGCGGCGGTCGTCATGGCAACCATCAGCTGTCATACGGTGTACGGGTTGGAATGACATCGCGGTGATGGTGCGTCTGCATCCCAGTCAGCGGTGTCCCGCGACCATCATAACAACTTCATCATCACCATCATCATCGTGACTCGAAATCATCACGATCATTCCTAGTGAAGCCAGCGCATGGCGTTCACAGTGATGACGTGTTCACATCACCGTCAGCAACGCCGCAGCATCACCAGCATCAGCTGCATCAGCATCAGCATCAGCATCAGCTGCATCAGCATCAACATCAGCATCAGCATGCCATCAACGTCATCATCCCCACTTTCACTTCTCGTACAGCCAGGGAATGGGAATCATGATGATGGAGATGAACTTGAGCGAGTTGCTGGAGACGAGCAGCCGGAGAAGGACGCTCAGCACGTGCACGTACTTGATGCGGTGTTCCTCGCAGCCGTCCTCGTGCACCTCCCTGGAATGCAGGTCAGGTCAGGTCAGGTCAGGGCGACAGCACTTGACCGTCATGGTTATAGCGACGGATGCTTGATGAATGCGCTAGATCATGTCTTAGTGCACGAAGCACTTTGCAACAATGAGAAAGAAAGTTGGGGCTGGAGATCCAGTGGCTGGGTGAGAGTAGGGGCCCGTCTGCATTTTCCACGGATTCATTGCGATGGGCCCATGACTGTTTGACTGCTATGACTGACTGTTATGACTGACCATTACAATATTTTGAGCCCCCCCCCCCCCAAAAAAAAAGTATGGATTGAATGCCCTCAATGGTTGCCCGCTGCCATCATTGTGTGTTGTGGGCTACATAACTCCGGCCCCGCAAGCAGCGCTGGAACATGTGCCCCGGTTTCGCTCAATAGCACTATCCAAATAATGCGTGAACAATTCAACAGATGAGCAAACAGATCACATGACTGGGGTTCTACTGCGATATGTTATGCTCCTAAAATGTACATAATGCGGACATTCATTACGCGTTGGTGACAATAAGTACGCCCAGCGGGAAGGTTTACTGTTCAGTTGAGGGGCTCCAGCCCGCCCCCCCCCCCCCCCCTCCGCCCGCCCCCAAACTTGGGCATTAGGCCCGCCCCAACCTTGAGAAGAACGTGGGCAAAATCCTGGGAGAAACCTGTTTGTAGACATATTTTGGAGGCAGATTAGGTCATTTTTTACCGTTCGCCCCCCTCCCCCCCCCCCCCCGACTCATTTTGCGCAGCAACGCTCCTGACTACACCACATGGCGCAGATCATTTCCGACTGCGTTTCTAAACTCCTGACATGACCTTGCCCTCTCTCGCGGCGCGGCTGCCTACTGCCTGTTCAGCACGCGTCGACCCTTAACCTGCGAGTGGCCTCTAACCTTTTCAGCTGGTACTCGTCGTCCCCTCCGCGTGATTCGCGGTCGTCCTCGGCGGGGTCAGAGGGTGACCCTCCGCCCATGTATTTCCGCCACTGGGTCATGTCGATCATGCCACCAACGAATGACCGCTGCAGGCGGGTGACGGGTCACATGGCAGGCCGTGACGGGTCAGATGACATATGGGCCATGACAGGCGAGATGATAAATGTGCCATGAGAGGACAGATAACATATATCTTATGACAGGCCAGATAGCTTATATGTTGTGACAGATCAAAAGACAGATATGTTTTGAAAGGTCAGATAACTGACTATAACAGGTCAGATGACAGATTTGCCGTGACGGACCAGATGGCACGCGCGCTGCGACAGATCACATGGCATGTGCTATGACAGATAAGATAACGATGTTGTGACAGAGCAGATGGCACATGCGTTGTGACAGAAAGAACGGCATGGGTGGTACGACAGATCAGATGACATGTGCTATGACAGATTAGATAACGATGTTGTGACAGAGCAGACGGCACATGTGTTGTGACAGAAAGAACGGCATGGGTGGTGCGACAGATCAGATGACATGTGAATGTGACAGACTAGACTGCGTATGTCCTGTAACAGATCACACGACAGCTCGCTGTGACGCAAATAGCACAGCGGACACAGTGCAGAGCACGGTAGCATAGTGTGTCACCAGGTGCACATTTGTGTGCACCCGGTGGGGCTCACCCCGCCGGTCGAGGTCTTCTTGCCGCGGGTGCAGGAGTGCAGGATGCTCTCGTGTGTGCCGCACTCACAGGTCTTCGGAATGGGAACCCCGAGTCTGGCGCACACGCGCACGCACAGCTGTGTCAGTCACGCGCGTGTCACGGTGGCAGCTGACACGTCAGAGAAATCATTCCGTCTGTTGGCGGCCGTGTTGTGGACAGCTCAGCAAATTTGGGCCTTCGTGGTTTAGGAGCTCCTGGCCGCCGTCGTAAATTTTAGTGGCGCATATAATCATGCAATTTTGTAACTTGAAGCAAGTCAGTAGATTCCGTATTATTCGCTGTATGTGTCGTATGTAAGGCTTGGTGCCAACACCCACAGTCTTGAAGCTGTTAGTCAACTTTTTGCTTAAAATCAGCACCCGACAGGTGCTCCTTTAAATGCCAGAAAATGTTGCTGTTACCCTCTGTTGCGCTGTGTGTGTGTTTCATCATGCAAGTTTGTACAAAGCAAGTCAGGGCATTAGGGGTACAAGAGCTAAGAGGGCCCGGGGCTGACCACACTCCGACTTTTTGAGAAATCAGTGTTGACCCGTGGACGTTGACTGGATGAAAGCACCCAAAAGTAGATGTCCCACCAAAATCCGTGATCATAATCCGTAAAACCCCGTGGGAGCGCTAAAGTCAGGGTATTCAGGTCATGCCCCAGACCATGGCGCAACTTACGTCGTGTAGTCAGCAAAGCTGATGACCCCACAGCAGTGGGAAATTTGCTGGAAATAGTCCAGCGTCACCAGGTATTTCAACGAGTTCTGAAACAGGTTCAGATCGTAAGTCAAGAGCACGCAAACCGAGCTTAGCCCTGAAAAAGCTTAGCTCTGATGAAGCTTATCCCTCAAGAAGTTTGGCTCTGATGAAGATCAGCTCTGATGAAGCTTAGCTCTGATGAAGCTTGGCTGTGATGAAGCTTGGCTCTGATGAAGCTTAGATCTGATGAAGATTAGCTCTGATGAAGCTTAGCTCTGAAGAAGCTTGGCTCTGATGAAGCTTGGCTCTGATGAAGCTCAGATCTTACGAAGATAAGCTTTGATAAAGCTTAGCTCTGATGAAGCTTAGATCTGATGAAGCATAGCTCTGACGAAGCTAAGCCTCATCACATTCGACGATGGACGGCAGTGCCGTGCGATAAGCCGACCTCCGTCACACCATTCATGACGCCTGAGTCACGGGTTCTCCGTGACGTACGCCCAGCCCAGCTCCACTTATTGCGCGCGCGTGTCATGAGGGCTCGATCAATATTGTATACAAAGTCATATGCGCATGAATACGAGCTCAACTGCGCACCAACTACATGAGAGATGACGTCCGTTTGAAACATATGAAAAGTTGGATTTGGGTTTTGCGGACTGTTTTTGCAGCAGCAGCATTGCAGAAGATTTTGGTCTTGCGGCGGCATGCATTATTCTCCCTTATTTGTGTGTTCTGAGGCACTTACCGCTTTTGTCTTGTTTGCGTTTCTAGAATTTTCGTATTCTGACAGGTAGGCGTGGATCTCATCCAGCCAAATGTCCTGCATGTTGTCTGGGTTAAAAGCCGTTATATTCTTCGTTGGTATGGCATATTGGTACTGAAACACAGGGTCGGTTCACGACAACAGATTGAGTACGACACTCTGTGCGCGGCAATGATTCATAAAAACAATTTCATTGGCAGTGTGACCTATCAGTCACCTCTCACACACACACACACACACACACACACACACACACACACACACACACACACACACACACACACACACACACACACACACACACACACACACACACACACACACACACACACACACACACACACACACACACACACACACACACACACACACACACACACACACACACACACACACACACACACACACACACACACACACACACACACACACACACACACACACACACACACACACACACACACACACACACACACACACACACACACACACACACACACACACACACACACACACACACACACACACACACACACACACACACACACACACACACACACACACACACACACACACACACACACACACATGCGCGCGCACACACACACACACTTCCGCCCCGTTTTCAGCCGCCTGAAATAATCGCTTTGGCCAGATTCTAAAAGGTACCATGAATCAAGAACATCTTCCTCCACAAAGATTCAACAATCAGTCAACAATGGTTACTTTAACAAAGGTCAAACAATGAGTTGTTGCATCTGGAAAGTTTTTACGGCGTTTCAAGTTGTTTTTGCAGTGGAATTTTACATCTTCTACGATGGAAAATGACCCATGATGTTTCAAGGTCGATTGTTGTCACCATTCTTGCTGATTGTACGATACGTTGAACTGAACCATGCCGGTCTTCTTTCCTTCTTCGATGTACATCAAAGTGAGTGGTAGTGCAACGCGTTACATTATTTAGTCAAAGCACAAAGTACCCTAGCTGTTGTGAGCATGGCCAAACACGTTCACTTCATTGGCTTCGCATTTGTACTTCGGGCAGAACGATTTCACGGGAAGAAAGCTTTCGTGTTCAATTTTGCCGAGCTTAACGCATTACTTCTGAAGCGAAAACATTCTTGCTGCCTTAAAGGTGCGAGAGGTATGTGCTATTGTGCTTATGCACACCTTCTCATTGTTGTTTCTGTAAATCAGGTAACAGGTTAGAGATGACAGGTTCAGTGCTGCGCGCCATCTTTGTATCTATGCCTTTCATCAGGTCCGATGCTATGCACAATCTTTGTATCTACCGTTGCATCTATGTATGATGTCATGCATCACAAACGCATCGTTGATATTGTTACGGTTATGGTTACCTGAGCCTCACTGATTTTGTGCTCTTCTGCGCGGCAACGGTTGGCCGCCGTAACGGCCTAGTGGAGGAAGCGTAATGCCAAATAGTTAGGACGTAGGATTTCTTCGTGAGGGATGGGGGGCCGGATTGGAATTCAGGCTGCGTCATGTTCCCTCGGCGCTAGCATGGCCAATACAGCCGCTGGAGCTCCTCAAAAGGGTCGTGGTGACGAAGTGGCGTCCCCTTTTAAGAAAAGGTGGTTTAGTGGACTGAGGCGTCGTACTTTAATCGTGCAATGCTCGTGGGATGCAGCCTGTCTTTGGGCAAACACTTATGCCCCAGCAGAAGCGTAATGTTCGTGATAGTTCTCCGCATGTGTGCGCAGCAAAACGGATGCCACTGTTGGCTTGGCTGGTTTGGGGGGGGGGGGGCGAGGAGACGCGGGGGGGGGGGTCCAGGGCGGCAGGTCAGCCCTGACCGGGACTCAGCCAGGTAAGATGCTCTCATTTCCAGTCCCCGCTTGCCTTTCGTGCCGCGAAATGATCTCGCACTTGCACCATCAGCTAAAACTTGAGCCAACGGGCAAGGAATGGCTTGCGCCGTGGCTCCAGGACTATTCTAAGAATTTCCTTTTTCACGTGCTTGGTCATGACGAACACGCCTCTATCTCGTTCCGTGCTTGATTACAGCGAGCTCTCTCCTCGGCCCGCCCTGTCCGATTGATCGAAAATGGTCAAGTATCTTTACGCTTAGTCCCTTTCTTACGCCGTTTCTGCAGGTGCTCTCGTTACCCCATACCGGGCCAAGTTTGCATTCGTAGGTTTTTTGGTCCATATTGTAGAATGAGGGAGTTACATGTTTTGATGTCGACGGCTGGCAAATGTGCGTGGCATTAAAACTGTTTAGGTCTCGCGGTTTTGAGTGTGTGTGGCTGAATCGACCATGTTGAGAACTTAGCCTGTGGCCAAGCAAGTACGAGCAGGCCATTGGGGAATTCACGAACTAGGTTTGTAACGATATGCTCATGACGTGCATCGTTCATATGCGCGTAGCGTGACGTAGTATGAACTAGTGGCCTAGTTATCATGCATGACCCAAACATGCGTACACAACGCAGACGTTGTCGACGCGCAACTGCGCACGACTGAGTGAGAGAGCACAACCCCGCGCGCTCTGAGTGACGACACAAGATCGCTGAGAGATCGCGCAGCCTTGGCTACGGGAAGCAAGCCACCCCCTCCCCTCTCTCTTCTCTCTTGCTCTTCCACTCCTCCGCAGTTCTCACCTTCCCGCCGGCAATGTAGAAGTAAGAGGCCGTGTTGGACATGAAGATGCAGACGGACACGACGGCGCAGACCAGTGCCTTGACGTGCCGCCTGCTGTGGGCCCGCTCGAAGCAGGTGACGTAGCAGTCGGCGAAGCACATGATGCAGTTGAGCATGGTGGTCACTTCGGCGGCTATGTGCGCGGACTGGACGGCCGCCTCCGGCTGGAACACGCTCATGTGCAGGATGTTGTACTGGACGAAGCAGAAGAGGGTGAGGTCCACGGCCAGCATCAGCGCGCTAAGGAAGAGCAGGAGGAACTTGATCTGGATCACAGCGGTGTTCATGGTTCAGGGCAGGACGTGATGATGGTGTTGGATGCGGTGAGGAGGTGGACTACCTGATAGCGCGCAGGATGGTGGGGTGAAGACGAAATGTCTAAGAAAAAAATGCGAGTATGTTTGCATTCGAAAGTTTACGAGTAGCTTAGCAGGCGGGGAGAAATGTGAGAGAAGAAACACATATAAATAGCTTGTAAAAAACACAGCGAAATAGAAACACAAAGAAGCGGATTGTATATCGATGTGTGCTGGTTTAGGAAAAACTCATTGCAAAATCGCGCTCTTCTGCCATTTTTCGTTCCCCTCACGCAGTGCTTCTTCAGGAGCCTTCGCCTGGGTGAAACAAGAAACTCATTCAAATATTGCGTTACCAGTCTACTGAGGTGGATCGGCTTCCTCCCCTCCAGCCTCTCCACATGGTCTGAAGCCCGGTCCGAAGTCACGCACAATGAGCCGTTAATAAGCACAATGAGCCTTTGTTTGCCTTCATTCTCTCGCTGAATTAAGCCAAAAACCGCTCTTGAGGATTTTTGTGACGCTGAATCACATTTCTAGCATACATGCAATCGCAGATTTTAACTGGCGGAACTAGTGGTGGGACAGCCCTTCCCAACCCCTTCACGTATTGGCCGTCTGTCCGTGGAGCTGCCCGGGGATCATCAGCTCGAGCGAAGATGGCGGTAGGGCGCGGCGCGCCACACGACCGCTCGTCCTTACGGGACCCCGGAACATCGGCAGTGCGTGCTTCATGAACGCGGCGCTACAATGTCTGAGCAACACCCGCGCCCTGCATGACTACATCCTGCGGGGCGAATACCCGAGAGCGATCAGTACGACCACCTCCATCATGAAGGGTGTCCTCATCAGGGCATTTGTCATGCTAATGGCAAATGCCCTGATGAGGCAAATGCCCTGGTGCCCGAGCCCAAACCCACCCACATCAATGTCAGCCTCAGTGCCAGCAAGAGCCCGCTGGAGGCCTGGAAGCGATTTCTGGTCCTGAAGAACTCGAAGTTCGCTAGCCTGTTTGTCGGACAGCTCAAGTCTTCGCTGCGGTGCACGGTGTGCGGCCACGCGTCCAGGACGTTTGACCCTTCCTGGGACCTGAGCCGGCCGATCTCATCCATGACAGGCCAGTTGCGCAGGCAGGACCGTTTTGACGTCTTTCTAAGGAAGAGGTGCTTGATGGAGAAGAAAAGCCGACGTGTTCCATGCGTCAGAAGTGTCAAAAGTGCCTCAAAAACTTCAAGATTCAGCGACTTCCACGCATCCTTATAGTTGACCTCAGACGGTCCCTGCTGCCGTCGGATCAGAGCGGGCACAAGCTCGACACCATGATGGGCTTCTTCGTCAGTGATCGCTGGACCTGTTCCCATACTCTGCCGTACCGGGAGACTGGATTTACGAGCCGTATGGCGTGACGCACCAGTCTTGGGTGGCGCTGCCCCGGCCATGGGCCACTTCACGGCCCACTGTCAACACCCTTATTTGGGAATTTGGCACGAGCACAGCGACTCCAAAGTCCAATTTATCCCATGCGCCGCGCCAACAGCTGCGAAGCGTACATGTTTTTTTTTTAGCTGTTCACTGACCTGATGCCGATCTGAACGCCAGTTCTTGAGTTTTACTGGCATGGAACCATTTCTAGATGGAGCGGTATGCCTTAAGTCTGCGGTTCCGAAATGAGGAGGAACGTTGTAGATAGTTGGGAGATTCCGAGTCTATGCATCACAGTCGGTCGCCATATTCTTTACGTTAACACCACTGTCCAGTTTGTATGGTTCCCCTGCCCCCTTTTTCACCGCCTCCCTGGCACCCACCGCTACCGCATTGGACAAGTTCCTTCACCCTCTCCTGTGTGAAAATCGTCGGCCAATGTGAAATCGCCCGCGAAATCGTCCAGGTCCGGTTCCCGCTCCCCCCCCCCTCCCTCCCCCCCCCCCCCACACACACACTACCATCATCGATTCCATTTTCATCTCGGCTCCCGCGGGGCAGTCTCCTCTATCGTCGGAATTCCTCAGTCAGCTGATTTGAATGTCACAACAGCGCTGATTGGCTGAGCGGCGACGGGCGTCAGCCAAACGCCGTCGATGTCCCCTCCCGCAGCTCCCGCCGCGCGCGTGCGATCAAAGCGCCCGCTCCGCCGATGGGGAGGGGCGGTGACGGGTGGTTACGGTGGAATTCTGGCGGGGAACAGGTGCCGGGCAGAGCAGCAGCGCAGCCTGGCGATATCGCTGCTGCCGCGTGTGGCCTGTCACGGGGGGATAGTGTCCTGAGGAATGAGGACATTATCTCACGCGAGATAACGCCCTTGAGAAAATGAGGGGAGTCGGTGGCCGCTCAGCCAGGTGCGAGATATTTCGGGGGATTTGAGGCGGAAAATGAGACATTATTCTTTTCAGAAGCATGTGCCATTTAAACTGGCTGCGCTCATTAACTTATTGCCTCATAATCAACTAGCGTAACACGCTCGACTGTACCGTGTGAAGGCAACAGCCAGGGCAAATTATGTTCAGGTTGTTGTCGAAGTTTAAGCCTTTCTAGGCAAACAACAAAATTTAAGAGTTGGTGTCGTTCATGGGCGCATCCAGTTGAAGAGCTCGATCCTTATCAGTGTTGGCGGATTAACATTCGTGTTAACATATATGCAAATCGACTTTTAAAGCATGGGTGGTTGGCAAATTAATGACGCAGATTGAATCTCACCTTCATTCGTTCCACAGTAGTTTGAGCACAAAAGCATTCGATGCCAGTGCTTACCATCAGCCGTCTCCGCGCCCGTAATCACCCCCGTTACTTCCTGGGTCAAAAGCCAGGTCATATTTGGCCAGTTTTGCAAACAGCATATTGAGACCTACCAAGAACGTCTTGGGCCAAGTAACTTGTAACATCTTAATCCACGTCATAAACTAATCGTTTTTTTCGGCCCGTTGGCTAAAGCTGGATCATCGATACATGCCACTAGGGTTGCAAGTGAGGAGGTCTCTCCCCCAGGCGTTTATTTTGTATTGTGTTCATCGATGGCTCCTGATAAGAAGTTAAAAATTGGTGTAATGCATTTGCATCAAACCTTCCCTGTAATTAAGAAAATCTTGGCTGCCACCTTGCGTGCAATGCCCTCTCCACACTCACACGGAGGCACCATACGCGCACCACACCACACCATACAGTACGTCACCACACCGCATCACAACACAGCACAATGCAACACAACATGACATAACACAACATAACATGGCATAACATAACATAGCATAACACAACATCAGCAGCAGCAGCAGAAGCAAAACAAAGAAATAGCCACGTCCCGGTGTGGGAAATCCTTCCTGGAAATCGTTCCCGGCCTCTCTCGTCCACCACCACCCCAGCAACAGCCGTGAGGCAGATTAGTAGTCAAGTCCGCCTGGTGTCGGACACTGTACGTACCGGGCCTCTTAGTAGCCAAGTCCGCCTCGTGTCGGACACTGTACGTCCCGGGCCTCTTAGTAGTCAAGTCCCCCTGGTGTCGGACACTGTACGTTCCGGGCCTCTGAGTGACCAAGTCCGCCTCGTGTCGGACACTGTACGTCCCGGGCCTCTCAGTAGCCAAATCCCCCTGGTGTCGGACACTGTACGTCCCGGGCCTCTGAGTGACCAAGTCTGCCTGGTGTCGGACACTGTACGTCCCGGGCCTCTCAGTAGCCAAGTCCCCCTGGTGTCGGACACTGTACGTCCCGGGCCTCTTACAGCCACTTCCAGGGTTGACATCTCACCCCGGGGATCTGAGCGGCGACCAGAGGCTTTAATGTTGAATGGCATAGTGTTGACATAATGTTAGTAAGCGCTGGCATAATGTTGGTATAATGTTGGCATAATGTTCGTAAAATGTCGGTATAATGCTGATAAAATGTTGGCGTAACGTCAACACGGTGTTGTTTATTATTTCTTCCGAATGGTTGGCATGGATGACGTTGGTTTCAAGGTATCTGCTAAGCATAGCTCGTTATGTACACCGTGAACAGAACGCTCATGCTGTGCCGTCACATTCAACCTGTAATTTTCCCTTCGCCCTTTCACCAGGCAGGCCCGCGGATGGTCTATGGTGTCACACAATGCTGGGGCACAGCCACCTCGGACTGTGTTGACCCTCATTGTCCAGTTGTCAGCTTATTCGTCATTCGGACCAGCAAGCCCACTCGGGGACCTGTACCCAGTGCCGCTGGATCACAGGCCCCAACACCTTTCCCCAGACCGCTGAGGCACCTGCTGGTGTAATGCTGGTCAATGTTGATGTGTTTTGGTAAAAATGGTGGTGTGATTTGGCGTGAAGTTGGTATGTTTTGGTGCGAAGCTGGTATAATGCCGGCACATTGCTGTTGCACGCAAGCTGTTATCTAGTATGACGTTACTCCCGTCTTCGGGGTCAGTATCGATGACTCCAGCAAAGTCAGCTGGAGAGGAGCCCTGCTATATCAACCATCGCTGTCGCTCAGAATGTCGGGACTGAAGGGGGGTCCTGCTATACCAACCGTCGCTGTCGCGCGGAATATCTGAACCGATGGTATCGACACACACGTGCCATCGGTTTGACCGATCTCGCATTCAAAGCTGAGAGGGTGGTGACAAAAAACTGTGGTGGCTTAATGGATCTAGTGCATCTGGAACCCGGCACCCTCCCCCCCCGGGTGAAGAGGTAGTCGTAGGAGACTGACCTTCGCTTTTCGCGGAAGTTGACTGTCTTGGTGGTGACACATAGATATAATTGACTTGAATATAAGTTCTGATACCCCCCCCCCCACCCCTACCCACTACGCAGCTTTCTGACGCTGCTTCGTGCATGCCCAACAGCACAGAAAACTTCCCTTGTCGGTGAAGAGCTACAGCAAACAGCTGGCGCTCGAGAACAACAATCAGCTGACGGTGCTGGCGTGTAAGCGCGGGGCAGACACACATGAATATTTATGGCCGTGAATATGAAGCAGCACTAATAACCGCTCCCGAATTGTAGAAACGACCGAGCATGT